GATCTACACAGTGGAATGCCTTTGCATAGTCAATAAAACACAGGTAAACATCTTTCTGGTATTCTCTGCTTTCAGCCAGGATCCATCTGACATCAGTAATGATATCCCTGGTTCCACGTCCTCTTCTAAATCCAGCTTGAATTTCTGGCGGTTCCCTGTCGATATCTTGCTATTTATATACTGATATTTTCCTTCACACTTGCAATTCAAGCCCTGAATTTTCTCTTCATTTCTTTCAGCTTTAGAAATGCTAGGCATGTTCTTCCCTTTTAGTTTTCTAACTCCAGGTTTTTGCACATTTCATTATAATACTTTACTTTGTCTTCTCAAGCCGCCGCCCTTTGAAATATTCTGTTTAGCTCTTTTACTTCATTATTTCTTTCGTTTGCTTTAGCTACTCTACATTCAAAAGCAAGTTTCAGAGTCTCTTCTAACATCCATTTTAGTCTTTTCTTTCTTTTTAACAACCTCTTGCATTCTTCCTGTATGATGTCCTTGATGTCATTCCACAACTGATCCGGTCTTTGGTCATTATTGTTCAATGCGTCACATCTATTCTTGAGATGGTCTCTAAATTCAGGTGGGATATACTCAAGGTTGTATTTTGGCTCTTGTGGACTTGTTCTAATTTTCTTCAGCCTCAACTTGAACTTGCGTATGAGCAACTGATGGTCTGTTCTACAGTCAGTATCTGGCCTTGTTCTGACTGATATTACTGAGCTTCTCCATTGTCTCTTTCCGCAGACATAGTCGATTTGATTCCTGTGATTCCATCTGGTGAGATCCAAGTGTATAGTCGGTGTTTATGTTGTTAACAAAGGGTATTTGCAATGAAGAAGTTGTTGGTCTTGTGAAATTCTATCATGCAATCTCCGGCATTGTTTCTATCACCAAGGCCACAGTTTCCAACTTTCTTCTTTGTTTCCAACTTTTGCATTCCAATCGTCAGAAATTATTGATGCATTTTGATTGCATGTTTGATCAATTCCAGACTGCAGAAGTGGGTAAAAATCTTCAACATCCTCATCTTTGGCCTTAGTGGTTGGTACACAAATTTGAATAATAGTCATATTAACTGGTCTTCCTTGTAGGCATATGGATACTATCCTATCACTGACAGCGTTGTACTTCAGAATAGATCTTAAATGCTCCTTTTGATGATGAATGAGATGCCATTCCTCTTCTATTTGTCATAGTAGACCATATGATTGTCTGATTCAAAATGGCCAATACCAGTCCATCTCAGCTCACTAATGTCTAGGATATTGATCTTTATGTGGTCCATTTCATTTTTGAAGACTTCCAGTTTCCCTAGATTCATACTTTGTACATTCTATGCTCCGATTATTAATGGATGTTTTTAGCTGTTTCTTCTCATTTTGAGTCATGCACATCAGCAAATGAAGGTCCCGAAAGCTTCACTCCATCTACATCATTAAAGTCAGCTCTGCTTTGAGGAGACAGCTCTTCCCCAGTCATAATTTGAGTGACTTCCAACCTGAGGGGCTCATCTTCTGGCACTATATCAGACAATGTTCTGCTGCTATTCATAAGGTTTTCACTGGTCAATTTTTTCAGAAGTAGACTACCAAGTTCTCCTTCCTAGTCTTTCCTAGTCTGGAAGTTTCACTGAAACCTGTCCACAATGGGAAACCCTGTTGGTATTTGAAAAACTGTTGGCATAGCTTCCAGCATCCTAGCAACACACAAACCACAACAGTACGACAAACTGACAGATGCGTGAGGAAGAGCATACTAACCTGCTATTTCAAAACAATTATTTTTCAATTCAGTTTAAGACTTACACATTTTTGTAAATCCTGAAAGTTATAATTTTAAAACTGAAATGATAGCAGAGGACACATTCTTTGGTCTCTAATTTCTACTTGTTGTAATCATATCCAATGTAATTATGAAAGGTAGTCTCTGTTCAGATGCTACTAAGGCATCTCCTTCTCAGTGATTTACAGAGCAAGAGCACTTTCATTAGGTTCTTGTTATGTGTGCTTGCCCTGTGGTCAAGAATATAGCTCACAGATATGAAGGTAGTCTGTGTGTAGATGTGGTCTCATTAATTTAGTTTCTTTTGGGGAAAAAATGCATTGCTAATTGTCACCTTGTCTCAAATTGCAGATAACGGTATTTCGGATGGGATCAGAAGGACATCAGGACATTGATTTAGCTATCCTGACAGCTTTACTCAAAGGTAAAACTGTTTCTGTGTCCCAAGAGTGCAAAAATAACTTACACGGATTAATACAACAACCTTATGTCTCCTGATAGTGGATACTATCTCAATACCATGAAATATCCATTCACTGATAATATGAAGATATCTCCTATAAGACACTGTTAATGCTATTAAATTCTACTAAAATAGACCTACTGCAGTGTGGCTCAATTTTACAGGGTTTAAATATACAACTATTCATATTATATCCACTGAATCATAAAATATATATAAAGTAAAAGGCTGATGTAACATGTAAGCCACTAAGTTATTTGAGGTTAATAATTATTATTACCCCATCTATTTGAAAAACAATTTGATATGGCTTACAATAGAAGATTTAAATACATATTCTGTCTAGGCATATATATGTGTGTGCATATATAGGTCCCTGGTTGCACAGTGGTTAAAGTGCTTAGCTGCTAACCGAAAGGTTGGCAATTTAAACCCACCAACCGCTCTGAGAGATGTAGCAGTCTGCTTCTGTAAAGGTTACAGCTGTGGAAACCTTATGGGGCTGGTCTACTCTGTCCTATAGGGTCACTATGAGTCAGAATCGACTCGATGGCAGTGGGTTTGGTTTTGGGGTTTTGTGCATATATATGTGTGTGTGTGTATACACACACATACAATAAGACATTAAAAAATGGAAAATCAAAAACCATTGAAAGAAAGAAAGAAACCCAAAAAATTAGACTTCCATGCTTGTTAAAATTGAGCATTAAATTTAACTGTAAGATTCTTAGATGTCAAAGCAAAAATAGAAATACCCTGGGTTATATGATTTTCATGTATAAGGTGGGTATTTGTCCTGTTGTCTAGTCTCAATGTTATAAAGAGATGTCAGTACACATCCTTATCCTTGGAGCCATATCCAAGAGAAGAACAGTTTTCTCTAGATTCTTCAGATCAAATCCCATCCTAAATGTGCCTTAATAAGTCTACTACATTTGATTAATTCTATTCAGCATTAAAATATGCAAAAGGAAATTGCCTCTGTTCAGTATTGAAATGAAAACTGGACGTGTAAGTCAAAACAGAACCATGAACATTGTTGAAGCCGGTTCTAGATTCAAAATATCTCCTACAACTTCCCGTGCCCCTACGTTTTGCCAGCTGTAGCACTTATCACCCAGTGGGTCATTGCCTGTGTATAGTCTCCCTAGACTGGAAACTCTGTGAGGGCAGAAAATAGTCTCGTTCATCAAGTCCTCACACAGTCCCTAACACATGGCAGCACTCGGTCGATGTTTGTTGAATAAATGAAGGAATGAATGGGTTAACTTTGGGAATTAAAACTCAGAACAGCAACCACTGTATTCTCATTTCCAGTCTACCTGCCCTTCTCTTACTATTTATTTGAGTAGCCATCATGTACCAGCCAATGTACTAAGCTCTTTACAAATGCTGTAAACATTAATTATCTCAACAACTATATATGATACGGTCTACTTTTAATCCACATTTTACAGACTGGGCAAATGGGACTGCAAGAGGTTAAGTAACTTGGCTAAAGTTACAATGCTAATTACTAGAAACTGGACTTAGGCCTAGGTGTGTCTACCTCTGTCCACTATTACCACATGTGACCCCCTTTGACAAGAGAAGCTGTCAGTCCTCTCCACCCACTTCCCAAATGTGTATATGCACATTCACTCAAAATCCTGATCACAATTCCAGGAGGTTTACAATCCCACGAAGTATGTCCATGTGTCCCCGGTTAAGAACAAACCTCTGCTCTAAAGCATTTCTTTTCAATGAACTAAAACTTACATACATTGGAGAGAAGAATCAAGAGACCATGCATGGGCTGAGCCACACCCTATACTCTGGTCCCTATTCTCCTTTTATCAGAGACAAAAATAAAAGTTTGAGGCAAGTAGCTGTCTATGGTATTCTTACATAAAGATAAGAAAAAGTAATAACGATGGTACCTAACATTTATTGAGGACTGGCTATGTGTCAAACACTGTTGGGTGGACTCTAGGTACGCATTCATTTAATATTTACAATTCAATGAGACCTGTTTATTAAAAGCCCCATTTTATAGATGAGAAAATTGAGGCACAGAGCAATTCAGTAACATGCCTAAGATGAGCCAGCCAGTCAGTGGCAGAGATAGTCTGAGTCTGGGCCCATAGCCCACACTGACATACACCATCAAGGCATCTCTATCCCATTTAAAAGAAGTGAAGCATGACACTTATGACCTTGAATCAAAACTCATAGCAAATAGGGAAACGACCCAATTGTTGGTAAAAACATGTTGGTCTTCTTCATAGTATCTTCTATTGAAAATATTTTCTTCTTCCTTCACCAACCTGTGAGACTTACAATTGTGCTTCACTTCTTGTGTCAGCCTTAGAATTTGTTTTTCAACTTTTTTGAGCATGACCCACCATAAGAAATATTTTATATTATAACCAAGTACTTATACATACGTATATTGAAATTAAGGCATTATGAAATATTTCCATTGACTATGTGCAATGAAATTGGGTATTTTCTGTTTTAATCTACTCTATTCTATCTTTAATGCTGATTATATCCCACTAAATTGATTTCATAACCCACTAATGGGTCATAACCCACAGTTTAAAAAACACTGCCATAGAAGATTAAAGGAAATTATGATTGCTTGAAGAAATTAACATTTCTAATCACTGTAATGAACATTTTTATGCAGCAGTTGATGCTAATGGGAATTTATGCCATTAAAAGATTATGGTGTGTCAGCTGTACTTTGCAAAGGCTTTTAAATGCTCTCTAATGCTGACCCAGTTGACTCAAGAAGAGTATCAAACATAATAATTTTGCTGACTTCTTTGGAGGTCAAGAGATTATTTATATCAGTTTCGAAGTCTTTATTTTGTTAACTTATTCTTCTTGTGTATTTTTTTAAATCATGGATAGGACGCTTAACATGGTTTAACACATTTTTTATAATTATATTTAGTTTTTGATATCTAATACGTGAGAAATATTTGTGCAGTCCACTTTTAACTCTCCTCATCACCTTAGAAAACCAGAAGATAGGAAAAAGAGAGCTGTAAAGCTAACCACCAGTCCATAAATACAAAACCCCCACTCCTACCCTCCCCCCAAAAGAAAAGACAGGACACCACGTGTCTGTGGGGAAAATGTTACCTTTGTTGCTCCCTATTTCTGATCCCTTTGGCTTTTATTTTCTTCAAGATTCGTATATATTAAAGGAAATTGTTTACATGATACGGGCTTATTAGGTATCTGTTTCTCGAAGAGAGAAAGAGGAGAAGAGAGAATGGTATTTCAGTGATATAATGTTCCATGCTGACATAGGGTAGTTTGAGAATGGTCGACGTCACATTTGTCCTTCCTGTTAATGTAACAGCTCTCAGACAGTGCTGGTCCGAAGTTAGAGAATTTAATTTTCACCCTTCTCCTCCTTTTAGTCTCCCTCCCTCACCACACATACACAGGGAAGGTCAAGGAAATGGCTTAGAGGCAGAGTTGCCAGACAAAATACAGGATGCCCAGGGAACTTTGAATTTTCATGTAAACAACAATTTTTCAGCATAAGCATGTCCCAAATATTACATGGAGCATACTTATTCAGACATAACTGGTAGTCCTGTATTTTTATGTGTCAAATTCAACTACCCTACTCGACACAGATCTGATGTCATGAATAGCTCTGGACTGTAGACACCTTGAGAGGTTCTATGGGAAGAGTAACTCAAAAATCTAGGGAGGTCACCTAGTCTCTCTGTCCACCTCCTTCTCTCAGCCAGGCCCTGCCTAAATCATAAGCAACCAGAGAAGATTGCCCTGGAGAGGATCCCAAACCTACCTTAACAAACTTCTGGTGTTCACCAGCCTGCCCTCTTAGCCTTCCCATCCTATCTACATCCCTCTTGCTCCAGGCTGAGTAAATCTGCTCACGCCTTCTGTAAGCTGGGAGTTGTTGACACTTCCTGTGGATAAAATGACCTACAACGTTATTATCTTTTCTCACAGACCTTGGATTAAATATAACGTCAAGTCATGTTCAGTACACTCTCCCAATCATATACGTGCACTTAAGTATAATATGTGGTAATGGCTGTCTTTCATAAATGAGAAATTTTTTGGGGGGTGGTTACTCTTCATTGCTAAAGAAGGTCATCTGAGGCATGGGGAGAGTCTAATTATTTATTGCTTACTTGTTTACTGGAAAATATTTTAAAAGAGCTAAAATAGAGCACAAAAACAGTATGTTCCTCCTCAAAACGGTCAAGGTGATAAAAAACAAAAGGGTGGTCTGAAAAGTTGCCACAACCTAGAGGAGCCTGAGGAGACATGGTGACAAAATGTAATGTTGGTACTCTAGATGGATCCTGGAGCAGGAAAAAAAAAAGGACATCAGGTAAATAAAATAAGGAAAACTGAACTGAGTATGGATTTTAGTTTTTTAAGAAGTGTTAAAGGATTAAAAAAAAAAAGATATGCTAACATACATTATGAATCTGAGCAGGAGATGTAGTCAAGAAAACTCCCCAATTATTTTCTGTCAAATGACAAAAATCAAGATAGCATCTTATCGAATTAATTGTAAAGTCCAGGTATAGATGTAACCAAAGAACTATACAGAGGCACAGGAAAGATCTGTATAAATTATATAATGGCTGCTCACCACTGATCTAAGAAATGTTAGAAATAACACTGGGGAGTGTAAGCAAAAGGTAACTGTATGGACAACTAAAAGAACACAATTTGTAGGAAATAATTTCCTTTGGACTTGTACAATCATTTCAGAGATAATTATCTGGCATCAATCATTTTGTGTGTTTCTGTTCCTCAGACATAATAATTAATACTGTCAAAACTAAATAGACTAATTAATTACTTGCAGATACAGGGGGAGGAGGACAACTTTTTAAGATATGCATTTGTAAATTTGTTAAAATGAAAAGAAAAACATTTTAAATAAAAATTAAAATGCCCAAATAATAGCCAAT